AGGTAGGAGGAGACCGCACCCCGAACAATATAGGTAAACATATATACGTACACAGATCTTTTCAAAGCTGTACACATAGTTGACCTCAAAGATAAAAGCAACAAAAAAAACAACATTATAGTGCAGTACAGTATATTTGGTGAATAGGTAGTGAAGTGATCTTATGTGGTTATCACTCACATTTGATAGAGCTAACTTAGAGCTCAGCTGTATTGCACATGGACGGAACATACCCTGTCTAAGGATATATGTTGGTATAGACGTCCCAGATGTCTCAAGTAAGGTGCAATGCGCAGGAAATATGTAAAAATAAGTACAAGATAAAAATACTCCAATGGTGAAGTAAGTACTAATAGGTATAAAAAAGAAATAAAGTAATGTATTTACATTTACCAGAGCAGAAGTTGCTCTGGTATATACAACATGGGTGGTATAATCCCCACCTAGGAATATGATGGTACCAGGAAGCAAAAAAAATTGGGATAAAACTAAATATGTACATATAAAATGTACTATTTATTTACCATATAAAAACAGTATAAAATAACTTCAAGGAGTCCCACTTAACGCATTTAGCCTGTCCAAGGCTTCTTCAGAAGTGTGGTAAAGTCCTCATAAGTTTCATTTATATAGGCAATATGTATGTAAATATTTGTCATATCCTCCCGTCTCGTCTTTCCTCCATGCTATACATGTTCAGATCCTTTAACCTTTCCTGATAAGTTTTATCCATAAGATTACAATCTTTGTATAATATAAGTTATGCGTCACTATATACCAGGGGTAGTCAACCTTTTAATACCTACCACCCACTTTTGTATCTTTGTTGATGGTAAAATTTCCTTACTGCCCACCAGTGCCAGAGTAACTAAATTTTATAGCGCAAGCACGTTTTTTTTCCTTTTTTATTTTTTCCTTTTTTTCCTATTCTACTTTTTTCTATGTGTGTCTGTGACTTGCATATGTGTGTGTGAAGGGTACAGTGTGGGGGGGGGGGGCTGTGTTTCAATGGGGCAGTGTGTCTGATGGGGTGTTTTGTGTGTGTGTGTGTGTGAGGGGGCAGTGTGGGGTAGTGTGTGTGTCTAGTGTGTGTGAGGGTGCAGTGTGTGTGTCTGAGGTGCAGTATGAGGTGCTGTGTTTGAGGGGGGAGGTGTGTAATGGGTGCAGTGTGGGGTAGTGTGCGTGTGAGAGGAGGCCGAGGCAGTGTGTGGGTATATATGCGTGTGAAGGGTGCATTGTCTACCCCTCCCTTCTTCTTACCTTTTACCAGGGAGTTGGGACACATTGCTGAAAACCATGGTGGTCCAGTGGTGGCATGTTCACTTTAGCCTGCAGCTCCTCCAGCTGCAGGCTGACATTCCTGTCCTCCTGCGAACACAGCACTGTATCAGTGTTGTCATAGAAACGTGTGGCAGCGCTCCAACCTGTCTGCTCGAGGGAGGAACACAGAGTATCCAAGGCCCTTCCCTCCCTCTGCTGGAACTAAGTGCCAGCGGGCCAGTGAGGGTGATCTTTGATCTCCTCACCAACCCAAGAGGGCTTACAGCAAAGCTGTATAAGTTTAGTTGTCCGATAAAACATTAGAATGAGTAAGATGTTTCTTTGGCTGTAGTATAGTTTGTTAGTTGCAGACATGGTGATTTCTTCATCTCAGATCACAACTGATGTCTTTTTAAAAAAAAAAATTTTTTTATTCAAAACAGTTTAAAGAATGCGCAGAGGGGCTTTCACAAAATATCTTGTGCCAGCAGGGGAGATAAAAGGATCTCCCCTGCCAGCCTTGGTTCACGGCCATTGAGGCCCACTGGACGTTTTCTGCAGAACCCACCACCGCCCACCTGGAATCCCAAACCACGGTAGGGACCAGGTTGACCACCCATGCTATATTCTGGTTCTTGCTTTCAAATCTCTACATAATGCTACTCCCACCTATCTTTCCTCCCTAATACACAAGTATGTCCCATCTAGGCCCCTACACTCTGCTGAAGACCAGCGTTTATACTCTGTTCGTATCCAAGACCTCTCTAGGGCTGCACCGTTCCTGAGGAACACCCTTCTCTTTTCAGTTAGACGCTCATCCAGTCTCCCCTCCTTCAGAAAATCATGAAAAACTCAATTTTGGGGGACAAAAGCATATCAAATAAACTGTTAATGGTTCCAAAAAACCCCACACTAAGTCTTCATTGAATACTAGTCTACCAATCTACTTCCCTAATATTTTGCTTACACTTTACCCCACTCCCTCTAACATGTAAGCTCATTAAGCAAGGCACTCAACCCATCTGTTTCTGTGCGTCAAACTTGTCTAGTTACAATTACATGTTTTAGTCCACCCATTGTAAAGTGCTACAGAATTTGTTGGCGCTATATAAATATAATAATAATAATAATAATATATACCATCTATGGAATGTAAAGGTACTTTATTGTAAACAAAAAACAAACCAAGATAATATAATTAATTGCAACCGTTTCTCGAACATATTCCTTTAAATGATGTTTACTTTTAACATCTTGTTTTTCAGTACTATACATTGTCACTGGCATTGAGATATGTAGCCAATCACCATTGTCTTGTATACATCATTACATTGTAACCTTTGAGCCTCACAATAAGAAAGTGTGATGCTGAGATTTTTCTTGCCTGAATGATCCTTTAGAAATGTGCGTCTTGGACAAGGACATAATGACTGCAAGTAATAACACAATTTGTCATTCTGTGTGTATGTAGGGAATGGGATGATTGATTTTAATTTAATCTCACTGTTTTCATCGGTTTGCAACCTCTGTGCCAGAGAATTGAATAATTCTAAAAAGATGATTGGATGATATACAGGGGATAATAACAGGGGGCACAAGAAAAAAAATATTGTATCGTATGCCAAGATCTCTATTCCTGGCTCCACAAAAGTCATAATTTTTTTCCGCTTGGCCACAAGATAAGCTAGTGCCACTTCCTCAATTTATTTTTTTGTTACTACTGCTTACATTTTTCATGATCTAAACTTATTATAATACAGATACTAAAACTAGTAGGTAAGTTCATATGCAAAATAACTATTTTATTAAACCCTTTATTAGGTTTGTTAACATAAACAGCATATCATTAACTGCAACTCATTATAAAAAGGAAAGCATAATGAATACATTTAGTTGTCCGATAAACCATTAGAATGAGTAAGAGGTTTCTTTGGCTGTAGTAAAGTTTGTTAGTTGCACACATGGTGATTTCTTCATCTCAGATCACAACTGATGTCTTTTTTTTTTCTACTCAAAACAATTTAAAGAATGCGCAGAGGGGGCAATCACAAAATATCTTATGCATTGAGAAGCCTGCAGACAGACATCAGCCTGTCATCTGAATGATCAGCACAGTCGTTACCCATCAAAGCGGTGTCTGAGCCCCAGAGTGAGCCAGATGTCTCAGATGATTCACAGGACGGAGGGTAATCATGTACTACACCACCTTCTGGTGGAGTGTACCATAAAGCAGATTCTGATGACGATTCTTCTCCCTCAACGAAAGGAGATATCAAGAGACTGCTTGTGACCTTAGGCAGGTCTGGACGGCAGAAAGGGTGAAGGTGAGAGACAATATGCTCCAGGACAGGAAACATCAAGTGGAGAGTCTCAATATGCAGGTTATACAGCTACATAACATGGTGGCCTAACTGGAATCCTGCCACTGACGTCAGAACATATGCCTATGAGGTATCCCTGAAAAGATCGGCAGAGGCGCAATCTTGACATTTGTCCAAAGAATGGTTGCATCCATGGGCATACAATGCGGAGCAGATGCCCCAGCTATTCTGTTCTCTTTTAGAGTACGTAAATCAGCTGCTGCACTAGCAGACGCACCCAGGGACGTTATTGCAACTACAAGAGACATTGAGGTGAGAAATTCTATTATGAACAAGTCTAGATCCTTGGGTGAACGTTGAGAGCCACATAGTGTCCATATACAGTGATATCGCCTTCTCTGCACTTGACCTTTATCATTAAATATTGTTGGGACACAGTGGGATCTCTTCCAGTTACTCATGGCACCAAAACAATTACCTTGTCGTCCTCCAATAACCCAGAGACGCTAAAACTCCCCTTCACTGAAAAGGGAATCAACAGCAGAGACAGGCTGCAAAAGGGGGATGATTCTGACAATGGAGACCCACGCAGCAGATCGACTTCCGATCTTAATCAGTCTAAGACACCAGAGACATTATCATATTTATTTTTGCTGAACCAGACTGTTGTTCTCTATGACTCTAGGACTGGGCTTTGTCTTGGGGTGTTCTGCCTGCCTCCACTTTCTTTCACCTCTTGCTTCAAGTTCCCATCATAACCTTTAGCTGTACGTCCATGAGACATTTAGCTCAGTACTTTATAAAAGGTATTTATATAAATTTTCGGATTTCAGCCTCTGATTCCTTTTTAATAAAACATTATCAGGGATATTCCTTAAAGTAAGAATCTCAATGTCACAAACGTGCCCTACTCTGAGTGTGCGAGATGTAGTTGTGGTGGCAAAAGGGTTAAAGTTCACTATTTGTCTGCACTAGACCATAAATAATGACAAAATCCCCTTTTAACACCACCCACACTTGAACATAATATAACTATTATTATTTTAAAGCTGCCACCACCAAGACAATTTATAAATGGGGTGCCTTGGTCCCACAGGTTAAATCAATAATAAAAACCCACCAAATATTACTTAGGACAAAATCTATGTAATTGCTAAATACTAATTAGTCTCTTCAGGTAATGTGATTCTTAACCAGACAAAGGAAGAACTTAATAAATTAATGTGTTTATTATGAGCAAAAAATAGTCACAGTACATATAAAAATAAATGAAAAACAGATTATTTACACCAACAATAGATAAAAACAAAAAGGATAAAATACAGAAGTTCTAGTTACTCACTTAGGTTTTCAAAGTACAACTTCTACCCAGGGGGTCTCTGGCAAGGAAGGATGATGATGACTCACTCAAAATTAGATCTTGGCCCCCAGCAAGTACCCCAGACCTTTCAATATCACTTGTTATATACCCTTTAGCTTTATCTCAAGTTCCCAGCCTTACCAGAGGCGGAGATGGCGTACCTATAGACACAATAAGTAGCCACTCCCTTGTGTTCCAGAAAACAACAAGCCAAATATAAACTTTTGGTTTTATCTCCTCTACTGTACTTGCCGCAGAAATAATAATTACCTCTATGAATTTACCATTTTCCCATTCCAGGGATATATCACATGACTTACGTGTGACCTAATATTGCAGACATCACAACCCCTGGACGCCGAGTTGAATAATTTTGGCTATTTTGACCCTAAAGCAGGCCTGCACAACAAGCGGGCTGCAAAAAATCTGAGGGCAGGGTGGAGAGAAAACTGACCAGCATGGAGGAGGGGGAAAGTCCTGCGCAGTCTCCAGTCTTTAGCTCCACCGGGTGCAGAGATGCTGACTGGGAAGTAGCGTCAGTGAGTTCCGGCCAATCAGTGCGTTGCCGAGGATTACCATGGCAATGCTCTGAAACTTCCAGCCATAGCTTGTGAGACCACTACCACGTGGTCTGCAGCTCTGCAAGTGGCTGAGCTGTAAACTGGCGAGTTGGCCCAATGGATCACCAGGGATGGAGACCACTGGACCACCAGAGAGAGGATTCCTGCATTAAAAAAGGTATTTTGGGGGAAGCTTGTCACACTGTCACCTCTCCACATACACACTGTCATCCCCTACACACACACACACACACACACACACACACACACACACACGCACTGTTACTCTCTCACACAGTCACCCCCCAATACACACACAGTCACCTTCCACACATAGTCACACCCCCACATACTCTGTCACTCACACATACTGTCCCCCCTCACACACGGTCACTCCCTCTCTCACACACTTTTGCCCCACACACACTGTCATTCACAAATAGTCACCTCCTCACACACTGTCACCCCCTCACACAGACACTGTCACTCCCTCACAATGTCAACCCCACGCACACTGTAATATTACACACACACAAACTGTCACCCCCTCACACTATCACCCTCACATATACACATGCACATTGTCACCCTCACACACACGCACACTGTCACCCCCCCCACACTGTAACCTTACACACACACACACACACACACTGTCATCCCCCTCACACAGTCACACTTACACACTGTCACCCCCACTACACAGTTACCCTCACACACACAATCACCCTCTGACACTGCCAGCCCACCACACAGTCGCCCCCACACTGTCAGGTCCCACCAACACACGGTCACCACCCCTAAAAGAATGAATGGAAGCAGTAGACAGTGACAGTGAGGGATAAAAAAGAAAGGGATAGAAGAATGAAAGGAGGGGGTAAAAGTGAGGGATAATAGAATGAAAGGAGAGAGAAACAGTAAGTAGTAAAATAATGAAACAAAAAAGATATAGTAAAACCGTTAACAGAAATGATACCCAGAAAGGAGAAAAATAACAAAAAGGGGGATTTACAGGTAGCCAAACAATTGTTTAATGATTTTGTCCCAATATAATTTTTTTTGACATTCTATATTTTTGTAGTGCTTAGCATAACACGCAAAAGTATGTAAACATTCCTTAATAGTAAAAATTACAGAAAACATGTGTAGGCATATTGGTAAATGTCTAGGAAAGTCACTTTTTATAACAGGTGAGAATAAGCGTAGAGTACAGCTGTAGTTAGTATAAACATAGAAAGAGTTAAACAAGCTGTTGCACAGAACTGTAGATGTTAGATTAAGCTGTGGCGGGTGTGCTAAAAAGGTACAATAACTAAATACAATAGCGAAATAGCAAAATCATTACTGGGAATAACAGCCAAGCAGCAGGTGTGATGTGTGGGCCCTTAAGCAGATTCCTAGTGTCGGAAAGTCCCAACCTCTGCCACCCACAGCTTCCCCAAAATAGCTTCTCCACCTGGCCCAGGCATACATACAGCCAATCAGTTTTCCTTAAGATGACAGACCAACTCTGAACCGGAGCCTGTGTTCGCCGACGCAGGTCTCACACAGCTGGTTACATGGGTAATAGGACACCAGAACAGATGGATTGTGTCCGGTACTCTGGACGGCAATGGGGTTTAGACTTCTGTTGCATCTGCATCTTGTGCTGTCTCTTCCACGGTGCCTCTAATTAGCGGCCAGACACCTCAGCGCCGATTAACAATATGACAACAAAAACAGGGTTCCCGTGGCCACATTGTGGCAGAACCCCTGCCTATTTGTGTGTTTTCCCCTGGTTTAATGTGTTTCCCCATGTATTTTGTGTCCTATACCCTATTTTCCTGATGAGGAGTGTTCCTACGAATGGAACCCATTCGTCTCCGGAACGGGAACAACCCCTGTGCCTCATTAGAACGCTCTGACTAATTAGAATGTGGACACTTACAACATAAGTGTGGAACCGCAACATTCGCACTGGCAACATAGCTCAAGGGACATAATTAATGAATGGTCCCCTGGATGGCTGCCATTTCGGATAGACTAACGCCAACCAGGGGGAGCATTCGTACCCTGAAAGATGTTTCCCTTGCAGGTTTCAGCACAGAAACCTCGTGAACGGAGATTGCTCGGAGAATGAGTCCTTGTGAGGTCGCCTGAGGTTAGTGGGGTCTTGGGGCACTTGCTAGTTTGGTGGGCTTTTCTGTGCCTGGGAGACAAAGGGACTGTCAGGATTACTATTTGATCCAGTATGTAGAGCTGTATCACACCTAGGACTAAAAGGTGACGTCTTACCGGGCCTCAGAATGGCCAGACTTAACGTACCAAATGTGGCAGACCTCCCTGCCTCTGGATTACTATTTAAACCCTTCGTCTGTTTGTTCGGCTGTTGCCGGTTGTTCGTATGTTTCCTGCTTGCATTCATCAAAAGACGAACAAACTACCAAATGGCAGGCCACCCAGCAAGGAAGTGTGCTGCTCGTTAACCTTTCTGCCCTCATTAACATTGGGGTTAACTGCAGACACTTTCAACTCCCGAACTGTCGGCTGGGTGGTCATCATCCGTATGAACGAACACGTGGTGGCGGCCATCTTGGACAGTCGAACGCCCAGCGGTGTTCGTTGACAAACACATGGAACTGATTTCAGACACTGCTTCCCACGAACACCGCTGAAATCACTAACCATCCATCGCTTTGTTCCAAATTCATACGAACGCCGTGCTGTTCGGTAAACTGACAATTCATGAACGGAACTGTACCAGATAGTAGATCCATGGAGCTCATTCGTTTCGTCGAACGCACAATGTACAAGACTAACTCCATTGAACTACGTGTATGGGATCTGAGCACTGTTCAGTTATACTGAGTGCTCAGATCTAAGCTATCTGGGGATACGTTGAATGTGGGGGTTCCGTTTGGTGTATTGGGAAATATGTATTTTAATGTGTTTTTACAATTAATGTAAAATGGGGATATTCTCTATGCCTGGATGTAATTAAGTTACTTCAAGCACTTAACCCAATTATCTCCAGGATAGAGAGGAGGAGTTGCACTGTTGATGTGGGAGTATTTCCATACTGTACTTGTACGTGATTGGTTATTGTAAAAACTGTCTCAGTCTTCCACAAGGTCCCTATGGGAGTGTCCCTTGCTGGAAGACCTGCATAAAAGGGCTGACACGTAGCCACCATTAAACAGATCCTGCTTGACCCTCAATACAGAGCCTCGTCTCGTACTTGGGAGGATAATTCATATGATTCCTGTTCGGCGCTTAGGAGTGTTCGGTAGCTGACTTTGTATTCGGGAAAAAGAACAGCTTTGGCGGTGTTAACCCCTTCACCTACTCGGGGTGCCATTACACCAAAGAATTGTCAGAATACTTGCTGAGGTCGGGGACACAGAATGGGACAAAACGATAAGGGAAAGCCGAAAGTCAGGGATACCAGAAAACAGGGAAGTCAAATAAAAGCCAAGGTCAATAACCAGAAATAAACGCTCAGGAACACACTCTCAGACAACCACTAAGGGAAACCACGACAGGGCAATGAGGAGAAGTAAAAATGCGCTTAAACAAGTCTTTTACAAATCTGATTGTCCGAAATCAGCCTTTGACCCCAGAACGTGTGCGTGCGTCTCCCGCATGACGCCACATGCACGCCGACATCGTCATCACCTGGGGTTATAATTTGGCGTGGATCCGCAGCAGCCGGCATCCACCAACATGTTGCAGGAGTCAGGTATACTGGTGCAGGGCCGCTGAGCAGAGATACCGCAAGTTGAGGATGAATATGTTACAAGGCCCTTCTTAAGGATGTCCGTCTGTTCCATAGTTAAAGGTTGGCCAGCTAGATTAAATTATCCTTCTAAATTGAGGTCTTGCCTCTCTTTTCTCTGTGCAGTTTTCCTCTTTCTTCTCTGTCTCCGTCTTCTTCCGTTGATCGTTGTCTTTTCCCCTGTATATCCCAAGATTGAGTCTTGTCCGTCCATTTTCTTCTGTTTTGAATCGTATCCCTCTGAAAAAAAGAAGATCATGGTGGAGTATCTGGGGGGAGGGGATATATTTTCACTTGGATTTCTTATTTTACTTTGTGAGGTAGTGGATCTATTTATGGGGGTATTGAGTGTATCTTTGTCTGTAACTTTTCCTAATTCTCTCCTTTGAGTCCCATCTTTGACTACATCACTATATTTCTTGGAATTCCTATTGTTCATAGTGGGAGTTTTAATAGGTTCGTGGTAACTTGATATATGTAGGAAGGACCATTCGACCTTTGAAAGTTAGGATTGCTGAACATATTCGCAATATTAAAAATGGCTTAGAAACCCATAGCGTGTCCTTACACTTTAAAGAGACTCATAACCAAAATCCAGAAAATCTGTTTGTTTTTTCATGCAATAAAGGAAGTAAAAAGAGATTGGAGAGGGGGTAATTATATTAAAATATTGGGTAAAGAAGAAATGCGTTTTATTTATAATTTTAAAACCCTAATCCCCCATGGCTTAAACTCTGATTTTGAGGTCTGCCACTTTTAATAACTTTTTCATATACAAATAAAACTTTTTAGGAATATATTTTTTATATAAGTTTTAATGAGAGGACTCTCTCCCTCCCTCTATCTTCTAACATCACATACAGTAGTATGTTTACATATTTTTTCTGTTGCCTTCCATTTTCACTACAGACAATTGATTACCCATTTAAGAGTATAATGTTTATAATCTG